GGTTTGTAGCATTTAAAATCAAATTAAGAAAAGTGCCTTAAGGGGTACACAGTTGGAGACAATCTTTACACTCATTACAGGTAATTAAGTAAATATAATATTTTACATACTTCTACCACAAAACTTATACAGTTGTAAACATTGAAATTTGGGGAAAAATTTACTTTCAGTATTATATTCTGTCACATATAACATGGCAGGAAAATTGTCTGTTTTAATCTTCAGATTTAGAAAGATATATACCAAAATCAAAAGTCATAGATGAATCTTGCTTAGTAGATAAATTTGCTTTAGCATAAAATCTTGTTTCTTCCAATCCACTGTTACTTCCTATTAATCCCCATTAGTAAGAACACAAACTAAGCAGATACTAAAACCGGTTGTTTTGTATAAACAAGTTTGTTTTTGGATTACTATTTGGTATTACCTATTGTGCTGTTCATATTAGCAAGAATAACTGAAAATTTCCTATAAAATCAAAATCGGAATAATCAAAAATTGCAGCCAGAAAACATATAATGTCAGGCCTAAAAGATAATTTAGTGATCATGCAGTCCAAGGATGGGAAATTGGCTTTACTTGCTGTGCTTTTGATGACTTGTTGGTAAACTGGCATCCTGGAACGCTATTTTGAGAGTTTGAGACTCAATAAGAAAAATTACCAAAATCATTTTGTCAGGTTTCTCATAGAAAGAGACTGGGAGAGGGGTGGCCTGCAAGTTATAAATGTGCATGCCTCTGTTAGGGCCCAACCCTTTATTGTCAAGAAATCACATACGCCCCCACTGAAAAAACAAAACAGATGACCTAGCTCTCTAACCCATCATCTTTTTCACCACAACAAGCAAACAATGGAGAGTCTGGTATTTGTATCCTCAAAATTTTGCATAGCAAAGTAAAGATAAAGCTCTAAATAGGGGAAAGCTCAATTTGAGATTGTTTTGTTGTGAAGTTTGTCAAAAGGAGGTAGTCCCACTGAAGAGGAAAGGAAGACCTCACACAGCTACAATGAAATGGGACTGGATGACTCAAAACAAAACCGCAGTTGTGCACATATAAGAACAGGCCTCCACAGCAACCTGCCATTTCCCCTTCAAGGCTGTATTTGATGCCTGTTTTGCCCCATTTTATCAAAACAAAACGTTGGTTGAAGCATGGAAGATAGAAATTGATTTGCTCTGGATCTATATGGCCCTAGATGAAGGTTAGTATAAAAAATAGACGATAACTCATGGCAGCTGAAGGGAGATTTCAGGGAATAAAAGGCTGCAATAAGAACACAAGCCACGCTTAATAAAGCAGACTACCTTTTGCAAGAATTTCATGTCTTGACAATTCAAATAC